ATCGTGTACTTGGTGTTAAACTTCTTTGGAGACAGAAAAAGAGTATATGTTTTTTTTTCGTTTGTTTTGTTTCGCATATACATGTATCGTATATATATACATATATGTATATTTTTATGTATATGTATATGTGTATATTTGTATAAGAAATTTTCGTTTGAGGAAAAGGAAAAGACAGAAACGTCGATCGTCTGCATATTAATCATTAATTTTGTTTTTAAGTTTTCGTTTTTACTTGCATGCAGATTTTTGAGAGGGTTCCTATGGTCCAAGAATGGAGAATGTCCACGTAAAACAAGGACCGTGAAAGAAACTATACGAGAGGCCCGACAGACACTTTCCCGACATCCCTTCTTTCTTTGTCCATTCCGAATTCCGTGTTATCTTTCACTCCCAGTACTTTTTGTTCTCCTTTCGACTTTCGGAACGATTCGCGAAGGTATCGCTTCAGAGCCACGTCGAAACACACACATTCTCTATCAGGCAACTCCACGCTTTTCCCCGTTATTCTCCACACGTTATTTTCCACGTTACCACCGATTCCCTTCTTTTTTTTTTGCCTTTCATCTCTCGTTTGATTTCCCTCATTTCCATCCGCACACCCACCATCGTCACCGCCATCCAATATCACCCACCCACGCCATCTAGTTCCGCAACTTTTCCCATCCCGGTAATCTCTCTGTCTTTCTCTTGGTCCACGCACGGATGAAAAGCACACGCCTCGTGACAAAGAATGCATAATAAACCGCGAAGGGCACGAACACAGTCATTCGAAAGAAAATGAACAAAATAGAAAAACCGAGATTTCGCACTCGTTTCAGCTACTTTTTTTCCTCCGTGAGAGAGAGAAAGAGAGAGACACACATACACTCTGTGTGACATAGCGAGTGTGACAAAAATGCTTTTCTTTTGTTTTTTTTTTCTTTTGAAGAACAGTTCCGGTCATTGAACGAACGAAAAGAAAGAGAGAGAGAGAGAGAGAGAGAGAGGAAACGAGTACAGTTGTGTTTCGTTCGAAGTTTTTTTTGTTTTGTTTTGAACGTTTACGTGCACACATCCAACAAAAGAAAGAGGAACACCCACGCAGAGAACACATGCAGAAGACAGAGAAAATAATAAGAAACGATTTATAATGAATTTACGTGTAACATTCGATCGAGGATTGTATGTAATTGTATATATATGAGTACAATGCAGTCCGTGAGTTAAGATATATTCTCCTTTTTCTACCATGAAAAAAAATAAATTATTCTAGTTAATAAAAAAAATCATGGTGTGCGTTCAGTGTTTTTTTTCTTTTCATTTGCGAACACGCATGACTACCCCCCCCCCCCCCCCCCCCCCCCCCCGCTCCCCC